TTTTGAAAGGAAAAGGAAAGCTAGGCCATTTACTGGAGCAGGGACCGGAAAGAGGAGCTACAAGTGCAGACGCATGGGAGGAAGAAGATTCAATGATTATGTCATGGCTATGGAATTCCATGAACCCGGAAATTAGTAACACTTACATGTTTCTGCCAACAGCAAAGACAATCTGGGATGCTCTCTACCAAACCTATTCAAAGGTCAATGATGCGGCTCTCATATATGATATCAAGACCAAGACAACAGGTGCAAGACAAGGGTCAAAAACCGTGACAGAGTACGCAAATGTTCTGCAAAATCAGTGGCAAGAGCTGGACTATTATAGGACAATTGATCTGAACTGCAGCAAGTGTGCAGTAGCCATCAAAAAATTCATAGAACGAGACCGGGTATATGATTTTTTGGCTGGCTTAAATTCTGAGTTTGATCTTGTACGTATTCAAATTTTGGGCAGGTCTGAAGTTCCATCCTTGACTGAAACAATCTCCTTGGGCCGTGCGGAGGAGAGTCGCAGAGGCAACATGCTAGATCCACCTTCAACAGAAAATTCTGCCCTTCTAAGCTCTAAGTCACAAGGGCTAATGTTTGATGGTACTGTTGTAGATAAGCCTGGCCGACCAAGTGCTCACAAGGATCGTGATGAGATGTGGTGCACATACTGTAAGAAACCATGACATACCAAGGAGCGATGCTGGAAATTGCATGGGAAACCCTCCACAAACAGCCGTGAATGGGGACAGAGAGGAGGACAATCAGCATCAGGCTACAGATAGGCTCATATGTCCACTCAGGATTCAACCTACAGCTTTAGAGGATTTAGTATGGAGGAAATTGAAAAACTCAAGGGCCTGTTAGGAAATGTGGAAAATCAGGGACAAAAAGCAGTCCTCAGGCATCAACTCAGGGTATGTGTTCATTGACACTTTCAGGTGAGACTCTAATCTCTCTTGGATTAAATACTTTAGGTAATAAGTTTAGGAATGCTTGGATTCTTGATTCTGGTGCCACTGACCACATGACTCATACCTCTAGCCTATTTAAGACCTATACACCCTGTCCGAGCAACCGGAAAATTATAGTTGCTGATGGTTCTACAACCACAGTGGCAGGAGTAGGAGATATTCAAATCACCCCAGAATTAGTACTTCAAAATGTTCTCCATGTTCCCCAACTTTCAACAAATTTGGTTTCCATACAAAAACTTACCCAAGATCTAACTGGTTGTGTTATATTCAATGCTTCTTCTTGTGAATTTCAGGACCCGGGGTCAGGGAAGAGGATTGGACTTGCTAAGGAGCATAATGGACTCTATTACTTGAATGTATCAAGTCAACCGGAATTGGAAAAACCAGTCGTGTTCTCGTTGTTTTCTTCTTCTAATAAAGATGTTATTTGGTTACATCATAGGCGTATAGGTCATGTGTCCTTTTCAGCATTGAAAATAATGTTTCCTACCTTGTTCAAGGGTTTGGATGTTCAATCCTTTCATTGTGATATTTGTGAGTAAGCAAAACACACTCGTGTACCTTTTCCCGTCAGTAATAATAAATCTTAATTTCCCTTCTTTTTGGTGCATAGTGACATTTGGGGACCATCCACCATTCCAAGTGTCTCCGGGTATAGATGGTTTGTGAGTTTCATTGATGATTGTACGAGGGTCTCCTGGATATATTTGCTCAAAAACAAATCTGATGTGAGCCAACCAGTTTGGCACAAAAATAAAAAATATTCGCTCCGATAATGCCCGTGATTACTTCAACCAAACTTTGACTCCATATTTTTAAAAAGAGGGAATTATACATGAATCATCTTGCATTACCACTCCACAACAAAATGGAGTGGCAGAGAAGAAAAATTGACATCTTCTCAAGTGTACTAGAGCCCTATTATTCCAACAAAATGTACCCAAGTCCTTTTGGGGAGAAGCTGTACTCACGTCAGCCTATGTTATAAACTGAATTCCTTTCAGAGTCTTGGGGTTTAAGAGTCCACAAGAGACTTTGTCTCAATTCTACCCTGACACTCGAAAGTCCTTCAATCTTACTCCTCGGGTATTCGGGTGCACTTCATTTGTTCATATTCATGGCCATAATAGAGGGAAACTTGATCCTAGAGCTATTAAGTGTGTCTTTGTGGGGTACTCATCTACTCAAAAGGGTTATAAATGCTACCATCCTCCCACTAAAAAACTCTATATCTCAGCTGATGTCACTTTTGTGGAGTATAAGCCATATTTCTCTACTCATTATCTTCAGGGGGAGTTGCCTATACTTGAAGATAAGGAGTCAGGTCTGCCACCACTGAAATTACTCTCACCCGAGTCGCCCAGAGCACAAACCAGATCACTCGAGTCATCCAAATCACAGCCTAAACAGCCACAAAAAAACCAAGCAGATGGAAAAATCTTTGATCATTTCCGGTTTGATCAGGTATACAAGGAAAAGAGATCCTATTATGACTTCAAGGCATGAACAATTCATTGAACTGACTCCTGGAAATGACGTAACAATCTGTGAACCAAATCTACATCACCGGTAGATTCTCCTTCCAACAGTGACCTTGATCTTAATCTGTCTATAGCTGTGAGAAAACAAACCCGAGAATGCACAAAAAGACCTTTATATGCCCTGTCTCATTTTGTGACTTTTCAGAAATTCTCTCCAAGCCACCAAAGTTTCCTTTCAACCCTAAACACAATTCATATTCCTAACTCATTATCTGAAGCATTATCAAAGAAAGAATGGAGACTTGCTATGGAGGCTGAAATGGATGCATTACAAAAGAATGAAACTTGGGAGTTGGTTGATTTACCTAAGGGTAAGAAACCAGTAGGCTGTACGTGGGTGTTTGCAGTAAAGTTTAGGGCAGATGGATCTCTAGAACGCTATAAGACAAGGTTGGTTGCAAAGGGATATACTCAAACGTATGGGGTGGACTACCAAGAAACATTTGCACCAGTAGCAAAGATGAACACCGTGAGAATCTTGTTGTCCTTGGCTGTCAACTTTGATTGGGAATTACAGCAGTATGATGTGAAGAATGCCTTCCTCCATGGAGGGCTAGAAGAGGAGATTTATATGAGTATCCCACCAGGGTTTAGTGGAGTTGATAATCACAAGGTTTGCCGGTTAAAAAGGGCATTATATGGGTTAAAACAATCACCTCAGGCTTGGTTTGGACGGTTTGCCAAGGTGATGATAGCCAATGAATACAAACAAAGTCAAGGTGATCATACACTCTTCATCAAGCATTTGGCCTCAGGGGGAGTCACGATATTAATAGTGTATGTGGATGACATTATAGTGACAGGGAATGATGAGGTTGAAAAGAAAGTCTTGAAAAAGGTTCTAGCTAAGGAATTCGAAATAAAAGATCTAGGGAGGCTAAAGTACTTCCTTGGAATTGAAGTAGCTCGATCTAGACAGGGAATTTTTATTTCTCAACAAAAATATGTCACGGATCTACTTAAGGAGACTGGATTGATGGCTAGCAAACCGGTTGCAACTCCTATTGAACAGAACCATAGATTGGGTGAAGCTCTTGGAGATAAAGCAGTGGATAGAGAGGTGTACCAAAAGTTTGTTGGCAAACTCATTTACCTTGCTCATACTCGGCCAGATATAGCCTATTCGGTTAGTGTCATTAGTCAGTTTATGCATGATCCTAGAGTAGTTCATCTACATGCAGTCTATCAAGTTCTTCATTACTTAAAAGCACATCCTGGCAAAGGCGTCCTATTCAAGAAAGCTTCAAATATTGACCTGGCAGTATACACGAATGCTGACTTTGCAGGATCACCATTTGATAGGCGATCAACTACGGGCTATTGCACATTCTTTGGAGGGAACTTAATTTCCTGGAGAAGCAAGAAACAGAGCGTAGTAGCAAGGTCAAGTGCCGAAGCTGAGTTCAGAGCTATGGCAGCAGGAGTATGTGAACTAATGTGGGTCAAGATTATTCTAGAAGACCTAAAGATTCAATGGAGCAAACCTATAAGACTATATTGTGATAACAAGTCAGCTATAAGCATTGCTCACAACCCTATAGAACATGACCGGGCAAAGCACATCGAAATAGACAGACATTTCATTAAAGAGAAGTTAGATAGTGGTCTAATTTGTATGCCATATGTTCCTACGGGACGTCAGCTAGCAGATGTGATGACAAAAGGGTTATGTAATAATATGTTCCATGAGAACATTAGTAAGCTGGGAATGGTGGACCTATATTCACCACTTGAGGGGGAGTGTAGGAATTCTTGGATGAGATATCATAGGAGGTTTTTTAGGAGATTTTCTAGTATAGGAAATCAGGAAAGATTACCGAGTCCTAAAGTCTTGGAAAGGGGCTGATATGTTTTGGATTCTTTCCTGATTCTATGTATCAGAAAGTGTATATAAATAGAGTGTAGAATAACTTGTAATCTGTGATTCATTCATAATAAAATTCATTCATTATTCTTCATTTATAAATATAGCAAATTGTATATTAGCAGCGCTCTGGGGAAAAACATTTCAAACAGATGGACGAGAGGATGCAACAACCACTAGCCTGAGAGTTGAGCTTATATTCCGTCTGCCTCTCTTGCACACAATGTGAAACATGTTCAATCAAGCACAATTTTTCCTGTTCAATTGCAAAAAGAGGGGAGTCCCTAGGAATGGGACTTCCCATATGAAGGAATTGCGCAACTGTCATGTATTTTGTCAGAGTGAAAAACTACGGCAAAGATCACAGCAACTTTTCGACATTGTAGCAGTTAAGGACAGAGAAGAAAAATAAACCCACTAGCAGTCCATCCTATACTAACTCATAAGGGTTCTCATCTTGCAAGAGTGAATAGAAATGGTGACAGAAATATTCATTAAACTTGGTAGGATAATTGAGATATATGAAGTGCGATTAAGATCACACAACTAATGCAATAAATATATGTGTGTGTGTATATATATATATATATATATATATATATATAATTGTTGGAATTTACTGGGCATTGATAACAAAACTCTATATCTATGATTCACAAATTCATGTGCAAATGTTTTTGAATAATGTACAAACACAAACAAAAACAAAAAAACAAAAAAGAAAGCAAAAAAGAAAACAAAAAAGAAAAGAAAAAGAGGAGCTTTCTTTCAGTTCTTACAGAGATACCCCAGCCCACCTACATTCTCAAACAAGACCATCCCCAGTCTCAAACTACAAACTCAACCAATCTTTTTCCACCAAGAAGCGCTGTTAAGAGTTGATTCACCAATTTCATTTGTACAAAATCCCGCTGGCAAAAATGTCTCTCGGATGCAGCCATATAGCAGATTCACGATGGAAAGGATATTGAATTGTTAAACAACAAATTCAGTATGGATTAATCTTACATGTCAATATGTAGAAGTGGGCAGGAAGGATTGAGGAAAAGAAGATGCCAGGTGAAAAACGATATCCCCTCCCTTTTTCTTTTATGGATATCCCCTCATAGTTCTCTTACTAATAAATAGTACTTGAAGCCGCAAAACAAAATTTTCTACTCAAAAGATGGAAGCATCAAATCTGGGCTCATAAAAACAAACCTGGCTGTTGTATGACTGAAGAGCACATCCAGCAATCCAGGACCAGACTTTTTTATCCACATCATATAGTAGCCCCTTCCCTTGGTTCCAAGATGTAAAGCAGATCAAGTTATCCTGTCCAAAGCACTCAAACCTCTCAGCTGATAATCTTAGCAATGCTCGAAAATATTTTGGCGGCATCCTACTAATCTCCACCCACATAATTTTTGCATGATCCAACTCCCAAATTCTCATACTCTGAAGAGTACTGTAAAGGCCAATCCTTCCAACTAGAAATAGACGCTTCTGTGTGCCCGCAACCAAATAACCATCCAATAGAGACCGTGGGAATTTAGCGGGGATATGCTCCCAGTGCCCTGTATCCAGCCGATACATCATCAAGCCAAGGGGCGAAAGAGTTTCTAGATACAATCTGGAGTCACAATATGCCATCTTTGACGAGCATAGATTAACTGCCGGCATTATCTGGTGAAGTGACCAGCTATTCAGCTTTGAATCATATACTTCAGTGGGCAATGACCTGTCACCATAAATATCACTAGTGGCTATCACTTTAAAAGACCGTTCCTTCTTATCAACAACCATGATCAGCTGCCTCTGCTGATTATAATGCATATTTGGAAGCGTCCTCCAAGTTTGAGTGAGTGGATTACAAACTAACGTTTTGAAAGTTAGCCCATCGAGTCCGGAAAAGCAAACTAGCCCACAAGAAGAACCAACCAACCAGAATGCCCATTGAGGCAAAAACGTGAATGGAATCCTATACCACGTCTTCAACGGCAAGCTGAACACCGAGCATTGAGGAGTCTGTGAATTCTTCCAAAACGTGAGGAGACAAGGACCGTGAGACGGCACTTGCGAATGGAACTTAAGGAAACTACTATCTTGAAGAATTGAATTCCACTGTCTACAAACACAACGGAGGCGAAAAATCATAAACGGAGGAACCCTTGCCAAGATCTCGTTTAACAAGTCCTCGGGCAACATTGCCCAGATATTATCTTCCATTTGAACATCCGGATGAACAGCTTTACCAAATGTGGCAACCGTTTCCTCATCTAATCCTCGAGGCTTGGTCTTAATCGTCTTTTGCATCGAGGGACTTGTGTTTCTCGATCCAACATGGCCTAATGGACTCGTATTCCTCGAACCCCCACCTCTAACAGGGGAAACTTGCTTCGGACATCCCTCTTCACGAGAAAAAACACTTCTCGTTGAATTTGGAGTGCTAGACACTCCATAACTAGATTCAGAAGACTCCCCAACATCACCCATGGTAACCAATTTCTTAAATCCTTAACAATCCAATTACCATCTTTGAACTAAGAACCGATTCCTAGCTCAAAGATCAGAAATGTTTTGTCCGAACAACAATTTGCAGTACCGAGAAGAAAAAAAAAATTTCCAGAAACACAAACTCTATCAGAATCAGAATCCTGTTCGGACGACGAACCCTAAATCTTTTCGCAGATCCGAGTTCAACAACCTCGAAAATTACGTCGAAACATAGCAAAAGAACAATTTTTTTGTTTTGCTTTCAAAACCGAAAACCAGAAAGAAGTTACGCACCTGAAACTTTGGTGGATTGAGAAAGTTAGGGTTTTGAATCGAAGAACATTCTGAAATTCGCTAGGTGAAAGAAGGAAGAAGCTTGTCAGAGCTCTAGAGAAGTAAAAATTTCCGCCATAGAAAGGAGAGATGAAAAACAAAAACCTAACTTCAAGTCTCTCTCTCTTGTGGTTGCGTTTGATTTATTTTGTCATTATTTGACATAATAGACAGAGAAAAAAATTCGTATAAGTATTTTATGGCAGTTATCTGCTGCATAGCAGGGAGGAGTTTGATATACATCCACTCAAACTGAGCACGGCATAAATTATCCTCTTATTCATTTTACCGATTTAAATTTTAAATTTTAAATTTTAAATTTTTATAATTAAAAATTTTTAAAAAATATCACATTTAATTTTTTTATTATAATTAAAATTTTTTAAAAAATATAACATCTTAACTTAAATTAAAAGTTTAAATTTATGAAGCAAACGAAATCTGTAAAATTTATCTCGTTAACGGTAAATTAGTTTTTTAACGGCTAATAATAATGTGTTTTCTTTGATTGAGTAAAGAGCAATAATCTATTTAGGGCTGGACAAAAGATCAAATCACCCAATTGATCCTGCTGA